TTATGCCAACTTTGATTGGGATGAGGTTTGAAACTAAGACATTTCTTATTGAAATCAATGAGTAAGTTAACGGTGAACTAACTGAAATTAACAAAGAAGATAATATTTAACGGGAAAGTTAACGGATAATCATATAATTAATGATAAATTAGGAAATCTCAAGAAAAAATTAAAGTCTGATCAATCTGAGTCATTCATTTGATTACAAAATTTGACCGTTATTTTTTCTACCCATTATAGGCGTAACTCTCTTTGGCTCTTATTAGTATATTTTTACGCGCACTGCGTGAATGGGATAATGCCCAATGTTGTTCTTTTAAATAAGTACATTAAAGTATATATATCAAGGCAAGATTATATTGGAATTATTCATGCATAGATAATTGAATGTTATATTTGCATATTTAAATAGGCAATTCTAAGTTTATAAATGCAAGATAATATAGTCAAGATTGATTATAATTGTCAATAAAATAACTGTATAGGTATGGTTGAAACCAAATACGGGATATAAGGGAGAGCAAATAAAAATTAGGGCATAAAATATTAAATATATACTAATATTGAAGAGCTAACTGCTTATTGTCAAACAAGGACATTGAAAGATAGTTTCCCACTTCAATTTGTTGTGTGATTTGAATACTTGTTTTGTCAATAAATCCCCAAGTAGTTAATATGATTGGCTTAATTATATATTTTTATTTTTTATTTTTTAAAACAATTATTATTTTTATTATATTACATATATACTAATATTGAAGAGCTAACTGCTGATTGCCAAACAAGGACATTGCGAGATAGTTTCCCACTTCAATTTGTTGTGTGATTTGAATACTCGTTTTGCCAATAAATCCCCAAGTAGTTAAAATGATTGTTTTAATTTTATATATATATATATATATATATATATATATATATATATATATATATATATATATATATATATATATATATATATATATATATATATATATATATATATATATATATATATATATTAAAAAACAATTATTATTATTATTATTGTTATTATTATTATTATTATTATTATTATTATTATGTATACTCTTAGGTCATTTTACATGTTAATCTAAACAGCTAATTTTTTAAATATCTTTTTACCAACCGTTGATATAATTCGCTGCTCAAATTTGGTAATATAATCCGCTAACGCTAACCGCTAATTGCTGATTGTCAAATAAGGACATTGTGAGGTAGTTCTTACTGCAATTTGTTGTGTGATTTGAATACTCTCTTTGTCAACAAATCCCTCAAGTAGTTAATATGATTGACTTTATTAATTATATTTTTTTAATTTTTTTATGGTATTAATAAAATACTTGGTAAATAAATATATAGCATCATTTTGTATTATAACTTTGATATTTAATTAAAAATAGTGCACAAAAAAAAGATAATAGACAATGTAGTGAATATAATCAATTGATGAATTTGAATGTAAAGAATTTTTACATTCGATAAATATAAAGACAATATAACTAATAAAATTATTTCTCTTAATTAATTTATTGATAATGAATAATTATTTTTAATAAAGACATTGTAGGGATAATGTAGCGAATATAACCAATTGATGAATTTGAATGTAAATAATTTTTATATTGGAGAAAAATAAATACAATATAACTAATGAAATAATTTCTCTTATTTAATTTATTGATAATGAATAATTTTTTTTAATAAAGAAATTGTAGACACATAATTTTAAATTAAAGAAATGCATATGTATTATTTTTGGTTGTAGCTACTAAATATAGAGTACTAATTATGCCAACTTTGATTGGGATGGGGTTCGAACCTAAGACCTTTCTTATTAAAATCAATGAGTAAGTTAACGGTGAATTAACAAAAATTAACGGAAAAGATAATATTTAACGGAAAAGTTAACGGATAATCATATACATTAAGGATATATTAGGAAATCTTAAGGAAAAAATAAAATCTGATCAATCTGAGCGATTCATTTGATTAAAAAATTTGACCGCCATTTTTTCTACCCATTATAGGCCTAACTCTCTTGGGCTCTTATATATATATATATACTAGTTTTTTACGCGCTGAGATAATGTCCAATGTTTGTTTTTTTTTTTTTTTTTTTTAAAAAAAATAAGTACTTTAAAGTATATTAAGGCAAGATTATTTGAAATTGTTAATATGTTCTGGTGGGGATTTATTCAATTGATTGTACTATTTTCGAAGGTTGAATTTGCGTATTTAAATAGGTAATTCTTCTCCCAAAGGTTGAGTTCCCAACCCCAAGGGTCCCCACACTCCGACCCGACAGAGCATTGTGGGAAGTTGTAAATCACGGTGACTCAATGATTTAGCAGACAGGACCAAATGTCGGTGCGCACAAGCAATCTGCCCACTTTGGACATAATTCCCGCACTGTCGCCGCCGAGGTTCAAACCTTGGTCTCTTCTCCCAAATACTGCCCGCTAAATTAACCATTGAGCTAAGCCCGTGCGGGTTAAATAGGTAGTTCTAAGTTTACAAATGCAAGATAATTAATATAGTCAAGATTGATTATAATTGTCAATAAAATAATTGTATAGGTATGGTTGAAACCAAATACGGGACATAAGGGAGAACAAATAAAAATTAGGGCATAAAATATTAAATATATACTAATATTGTTTGAGGAGATTTCTACATTATGATTTGTGGTTAAGTTTTATTAAGACTTTAATATTAGAATTAGATTGATGGTGTAGTTATAATTCTATATTAGACTTTAATATTAGAATTAGACTAACGGTGAATTAACGGTATTTAACGGAAAAGTTAAATGGATAATCATATAATTAAGGATAAATTAGAAAAACTTAAAAGAAAAAAATTAAAACCTGAACAATCTGAACCATTCATTTGATTTAATAATTTGGGGGTCATTTTTTCTACCCAATGTTAATAATTAAATAAATTCGTTGGTCAAATCCGCTAATATAATCCGCTAACGCTAACCGCTAACTGCTGATTGTCAAACAAGGACATTATAAGGTAGTTCTCACTTCAATTTGTTGTGTGATTTGAATACTCTCTTTGTCACAAAATCTCTCAAAGTAGTTAATATGGTTGGCTTTATTAATTATATTTTTTTTTTAATTTTTTCATGGTATTAATAAAATACTTGGTAAATAAATATATAGCATTATTTTGTATTATAACTTTGATATTTAATTAGAAAAATAGTGCACAAAAAAGATAATAGACAATGTAGTGAATATAATCAATTGATGAATTTGAATGTAAAAAATTTTACATTTGAGAAAAATAAGGACAATATAACTAATGAAAATATTTCTCTTAATTAATTTGTTGATAATGAATAATTTTTTTCACTGAAATAAGACATTATAATGACAATGTAGCGAATATAATCAATTAATAAATTTGAATATAAAGAATTTTTATATTGTAGAAAAATAAAGACAATATAACTAATAAAATTATTTCTCTTATTTACTTTATTGATAATGAATATATTTTTTTTGAATAAAAGCATTGTGGACACATAATTCTAAATTAAAGAAATGCATATCTATAATTTTTTGTTGTAGCTACTAAATTATTATTTATATAATTTAATAAGAGTAAAATAGAGTACTAATTATGCCAACTTTGTTTGGGATGAGGTTCGAACCTAAGACTTTTTTTTTTATTGAAATCAATGAATAAGTTAATGGTAAACTAGCGGCAATTCTTAAAATTTTAACGGAATTAGTAATGGTGTGTGGGTATTTTAGGAAATTTTAATGTAAAATTTAAATCTTATCAATCTTTTAATCAATCTGAGCCATTCATTTGATTAAAATCTGTGACCGCCATTTTTTCTACCCATTATAGGCCTAAATCTCTTGGGCTCTTATTAGTATAGTAGATATATATATATATATATATATATATATATATATATATATATATATATATATATATACACACACACACACATAGGAAATATGAAATAATAATAATAATAATAATAATAATAATAATAATAATAATAATAATAATAATAATAATAATAACTGGTGGTGGTATGACAATGCTGGTGGTGATGTGGTGGCGGTGGTTGAAGTGCTGGTGGTTGCGGTGGTATGGTCGTGGTGGGGGTGGCGGCGGCGTTGGTGATGGTAGTAGTGAGGTGGTGGTGGTGGGGTGTTGGTGTAAAAGTTGGAAAATGACTTTCTAAAAAAATGACTTGACTTCTCAAGCACATCCAAACACTGGAAACCCAAAAAATGATTTCTAAAAATCATTTTCCAGGTTTCCCCACATTATTGCTAGGGAGGCCGTTTCTCAGTCAGCTTGCGAGGGTGGTTCGATTCCCCACCTTCTTTTCTTGTTGAATGTTGATAAACATTATTTTTAGTGTTATTTTAAATAAACTTTTTATAGTTAATTTGCAATAATTGATTAATTTATAGCTATTTTTATTTATTATTGCTATAAGTAATTTCTATTAATATTGTTTATTTTTAGGTTGTTTTACTTATTAAATTCGTTTTATTTTGTTGATTTCTGCCAGTCCAATAATTCTTTGATCATAATCTCTTATTATAATAAAGCAACAACTTTCTATCAAAAAGAATTCCCGCTCAAAGCAAACGACGTCACTTTGTATATAAGAGATTAATGTCGAAACTAAATGCTGTTAACTAATGCTTAACGCGTGATCATTAATTATGCCGCCTACTTTTTTGTTAATATCAACCACAATAAAGCAATTTTAAATTTAAATAGAATTCTATTAATTACAGACTTCTAAGGAGAGTGTTTAGATTAAACACTACTTCGAAAATATACATCTCCAATCTAGATAAAGTCAATATAAATACAATTATAATAAAGAAGCTCAATGATCTAATGTCTGATCCCCATGCCTTTGGAAACTGTAAGGACGCCCGCATACATTCATAGTTCCTAGACACATCATAGATTTTGAATTGCAGTTCTCCATTCTATATAAACAGATCACTATGGAGACCTCCACTACCTACTCCACATTTGCTTCAGTTCGTATCACCTGTGAACCAGCGAAAAAGAAACAAATTATTTGCAAGATAACCATGTCAATGTATGTAGCTGTGAAGGATATTGGTCCTCTTGATAGGGAAAAAGCAATCAGGGTAAAATGTGTGCGATGTTACGAAATCTATGAAAAAGGCTCTACAGAGATTAAGAGTCAAGAACTTTTGTTTTGTGATGCAGAGGTATGATCTTCCCTTTTTGATATTGTATTCTTCTGTTCACTGTAGATAGATATACCACATTTTATTTACATGTCTCTAGCAATAATGGATTTTCTTATGCAAAATCTAGAGTCTATACAGATTTTTTATCTACACTGTTTAAGGCTATTCTTATGCTAATGTTGCAGGGCTCTTTCATCCATTTGAACCTCCAAAGTAATGATGTCAAAAAATACAACAATGTTTTCCAAGAAGGGAAGCTGTATTCAGTCAAAAATTTTGTTGTTTTCACCCATTATTATATGTATAAAACTTGTGAGCACAAATATATGATCAGACTAAACTCTAAGACTCAGGTAAAGGCCATAAAATCCAAAGGTTTCCCTACTAAGATGTTCCAGCTTAAAAGTTTTGACTCTTTGAAAGACCCTACTCAAGTGAATGACAAGGTGCTGTTTGGTAAGTAAGCTGTTTTTAATTTTGCTCTTTTTTTCTACTGTGTAAGATGTTTCTACTTCAAGACTTTTTGATTTCTGCTCATGTTGTATACTGTCTAAGCTGTTTTTATTTCAAAAAGTTTTATTCTTCTATTTTGTGATGAAATAGATTTAATAGGCAGAGTTGTAGAGATCCATGCTCCTGTAGACAAAATAATAGGGGGTAGACCAGCCAAACTCCTAGACTTCAAAATGGCTGATAATGAGTAAGTTTCACTTTAAAAAATATGTTCCTATATTTCCAGACATTATATTTTGTCTAACACACTTTGCTATAGGGGTAATTTCTTGCAATGCACTGTGTGGGACAGTCATGTTGGTGCCATGCTACCATACTATGATTCAGGTCTTAAAGAACCATTAATTCTGGTTCTTCAGCTATGTCGGGCAAAGGTGGTCAATGGTAAGTTAATATACAGTATTATTCTTTCATTTATTTATATATTTCCATAGTTCATTGCCATCTAACATGCAAAATTAGGTGAAGTCAGAATAACTAGCTGCTATGATGCTACCCAACTCCATTTCAATGCATCTTTCCAAGAATTTGCTGATTTTAGGTCTCAGTAAGTGCCTGGATTTTTTTCCTAAATTATACATTTTATCAACTATTGTACTACACATTAATAAAAATTTGTGTTCACCTGTAGGTTAAATGCTGCAACCAGTCCTTTGCGAAGTATCAGTACTGCGACAGTGCTGTCCCAATCCACATGCATTGATGATTTTACAAGTGGTGCCTTGACTGTAACTACAGTAACAGAGCTATTGAAAAAGACAAAGGTTAGTCCCTATATGTAATCAATGTAGTCTGTATACATTTAATAACATAGATTACATTACATAAGAAATACTAACAAAGGAATCTATATACAATTGCAGAATGGTGAATTCTATGTACCTGCTGAAATTATTGCAATTGAAGGTTCTTTTGGATGGATGTACATATCTTGCATGTCCCCGGGATGTAACAGGAAACTTTTTAATGATGGGACTGATCTTGAATGTACAAGTTGTGATAAGAAATACAAACAGGGTATGGCCAGGTATCGTGTAAGAGTGATTGTCCTAGATAAAGGTCTTGGAGACGCTCCTTTCCTATTATGGGATAGGGAGTGTTCTGACTTGGTTGGTATCCCGGCACACAGTTTGTACACAAAGTATAATAAGGTAAAAAATTGTCGCTTATATGACACATCCATATAGACCTTTTTTGAGTTTCTTTTTTACTATTCTATTTTCTTAATGTTAGGTGGCTGACATCCCAAAAGAGTTGGAATCATTAGTCGGAATGAGAATGATATTCAAGATATCATTAAAATTGGAGTACATGAAGGGATCTAATGCAGCATACACTGTTATGAAAGTTCTAAGGGATGAAGCCTTGGTGTCAGCATATTGTTCTAAACTCATTGAAGAACAAGACAAGGACTTGATATCAAGAATGATAGATGAGGACGAAGAGGAAGAAGATGAGTCTGATCAGGTTTTGTTTTCTATTATACTAAAGTCAAATAACTAATCTCATTTCTTAACTTACGTTTGACATATTTTACAGTTAAGCTTATTTTAATATATAGGAAGCTTCAAATGGAGGCAATGAGGTCAACAGCCCATTACCTATGCAGCAGTCTCAAAGCCTAGACCATGAAACTATAGAGCCTGATGGTGTTAAGCGATCTCTTATGGACCAATTCTCCTCCTCTTGCAAGAAGGGGAAAACAGTTGCTGTTAAGCAAGAGAAGATTTAAGAGATCCTTTAAATGACAAACTGTTACCACATTTATGTGGTTGTTCCTATTTTCAAGACAAACATTTGGCCTGTTTAATTGCACCAGTGTGCCCTGAACAATTTACTTTTAATTTGAATCTATGTTTGGACTGTTTGCAACTGTTATATTTACCTATACCCTGATATCAGTGGACACTGATAATTGTCTGTTTATTACCCTTTACTGTTATATATATATATATATATATATGCAACTGTATGCAGGACAACAAAAACGCAAATACAAGGAAGCAACCAGAAGTAAATGTAGGCAGGACAAATAACAAGCAAGCGCAAGGAAGAAAACACAAGTCACCAAGCATGAAAACACAAGGACCCAACCAGTCACTTTATGGTGCAAAAACATTCAAATGAAAAACCACAAAAATGCATACTGTTTTCAGTTTTGGCCATCACAATTTATGCTTGAATACAAGGAAGTAACCAGAAGTAAATGTAGGCAGGACAAATAACAAGCAAGCGCAAGGAAGAAAACACAAGTCACCAAGCATGAAAACACAAGGACCCAACCAGTCACTTTATGGTGCAAAAACATTCAAGTGAAAAACCACAAAAATGCATACTGTTTTCAGTTTTGGCCATCTAGCTTATTTGGACAATTACTAAGTGTTTAATCTCAATATGACTATGTAATGTACAGTTCTCAAACTACTGATTGTGTGGTTCTAAAAGTTATAATAATAATATTTTACCATGAGTATATGTATGTCATAAATTGTGCTTTAACAATCAGTATTGACATTTACAATAAATTACTACTATATTTATATCTTTAAATAAAGATTGTTGATACAAGTCCAACATAAAACACAATTAGTGATAAAGGAATTTTGGTCTGTTTTAAATGTAAACAAATTTTCAATCCAGAACTTGAAGTTATTACACACTTTAAAGATCATCATTGGCAACCTAAAGGACTGCATTTTTTTACTTAGTCAGTTTCAAAATGTAGTAATTTTAACTGCATTACTATTATATGATGATCTTTAAATAAAGATTGTTGATACAAGTCCAACATAAAACACAATTAGTGATAAAGGAATTTTGGTCTATTTTAAATGTAAACAAATTTTCAATCCAGAACTTGAAGTTATTGCACACTTTAAAGATCATCATTGGCAAATTGAAATAAAAGACTTATGACAGTTTGTTGACACAGTAACATGCCACATATATAATAAAACACTTCAAAAATTTTACTCACAATTTAGATGCTATGAATTAAATTATAACAGAAGGACTGCATTTTTTTACTTAGTCAGTTTCAAAATGTAGTAATTTTAACTGCATTCACAATTTAGATGCTTGAAGTTCCACATATATCATACAGCAATGGAAATTGATGAAGAAACGATATGGTTTTAACCCATTTACTTTAAGCAACTGTGGATACAAAATTATAGGCAGGGAAATGTCTACAATTTAGTTATCCAAAACAAATGAGTAGTCATATGCCAGACATTAAATTTAAAAGTAGATGTGTTAAGTATAATTTCATTAACCTTATTATAACTACATTTCAAAATGTAATATATAAAATATACAAATTAGATGGAAATTCGTGGAAAAACAATATGGTTATAATATTGTAACTTCAATTAACTGTTGCTTCAAAATTAATAAACATGGATGTATTAATGTAGTAACACACATATGTAGATCATTACAAAAAAAAAAAAAAAATACTCCTTTCAAATTACAAAATTACATATAAGGCCTATTTGTAATTAAAGTAGCGAATGTAGGACTCTAATTTGGGCCAATACAGTCTATATCATGCCTAATATTGAAAAAATATCTGTACTAAAAACTTTGAATACAAAAACTAATGGGATGACAAACAACTACTAATAGTTCAAATCAGAATCACCAATCATGTTCATGTCATTCTCTTCAACCAATTAACCAAATCTGTAAACTAATGGAATGACAAATGTAGCTTCATCAATTGTCAAAACATAATAATATAGTAGTTGTCAGAAAATAGAATAAACAAAAAACATTTACACCAGACTTTGTCCAAAAAAATGGCAATAGATTACAAAAGTAGCCATTTAAATATTACCCCTATACCAATCCACTAAGTTGTTACAACATTGGCAGAGATTAAATGAAGCTACAATGGATTAAACAAATAGTCATGTTCAGTTTATCCTCTTTGATCCACTAAGTTCTAATACATCTGTAGTGGCATCAGAATTGTAAATTCATCATTTGCCAGACACTTCAAAATTTGGTTAGTCACAATGAATATTGAAAATACAAAATAACCCATGAACCAGGGGAACATGTATATTAAATTTATTAAAAACTACTTTAAATTGTTGTTTTCCAATAAAAAATGAAGAGTCATATCAATGCTTTTAATCATTCCTATTAAAGTGAAATCTTAAATGCACAGAACCAAATAAAACCATCACCTATTTTAATCCAAGTATTTGAAATACAAATCCAATAACAAAAACAGACTGGAACATACACAATATCAGCTCAAACATGAGGAAAATCACAACTTCTACAATAATAGGAAGCAAAAGGAAGCACATGATCGACAGTAAAGGTAACATAAACACATATTCAAACTACTTTTTATACTCTAGCTGCCTGTTTCAGTTAATTGCACAATATTATAGCTTTTTACCTACTATTACAGAGTCATGAATGCTTAGCTTCAAACCTTTGTAGGGTAGATATATCCAAAACCTGCAAATCTGCAATTCCATTTTGCAGATTTGGTTAGTATATGTTCTAGAACGAATACTTTAGAGCAAATATTGTATGATCTTTGACTATAATAAAAAACAAACAAAAATATAATAAATATAAAATGTACGGTATATACTAAGATTAAAAATACCAGAAAAAAATAAACTTCAAAAACACTTATCTTCCATTGGATTGCGCAAAACTTTACTGTAATTTTCGGCAAAGGGCATGAACACCGTACGGTGATTACAGTATTATATATCTACAATTAAGAAACAAAATAAGCTTTAATCTCTAACTAATCAAATACGAAATAATTTTAGCTGTTAACAAACTTACCAAAGATCGGATTGTAGTGTAATAGGGTATGCCGTGAAGATCTGGATCATCGATCATCGTTCGAACCGTCAAAAACCCCCATCCCAGTCTAAAAATGAAGATCGGAGAATACTAGCATAGATCCTCTTACAAAAACACCGCCGATCTATAAATACGGTTTCATCAGTGAGCCTTAATCTACTGTTAGGTGAGATGAACACCTTGCATTAGCGTTGAGATCTTCTACGAATTAAAGTGTGTTAGACAATCGAATGGCCTGAAATATCGGATTGGGGATGGTTTTGTTTGAAGAGTGTGAGAGATAAAGTTAGGGAGTGTTCTATCGCTGTTAGCTGTAAGAGGGATTGGGAGGTGAGGGTTCAAGAAATGACACACCGCAAGAAACCCCCTATTTGGAAGTGAAGGTATGAAAACAATCAGTGGGTCGGGTTTGGGCTTTGCATTTTAGGTACATAGATTTGGGTCTGATCTTTGAGGGTAGAAATGAGCTTTTAAATGCTGGATAGAAATGGGCTTGGTCTGAAATAGGTAGAAGTGAAGGTATGCAAACATTATTTATGATATTTAGTGGTCCACAATATTGTGTGAACCATTGGTCCATGATGGTCTCTTTTAAATATATATGCACATTATGTTCAATTTGTTGTTATTTCTGTACTTAAGTTATATCATTTTTAGACTTTATATATTGTCCAACATTGACAGGTATCTTTTATAATAAGAGATACTTTATTATGTCCCTTGAATCTTTTCAATGCAGAAAATGATGAGAATTCGTCTGTTATAAGCACTCACAACCATATAGTGAAAAAATCTGTCACAAATTTAGCCACAAACTTAACACCACAACAACCAGGTACTTCAAATGCGACACCAAGAAGTTGTCTAACAACAGGTAAACGCTTTACACTTCTTGGATTTATATATCTGTATATCCTTCGGTATAATACACTATATAGAAATGTTGTTTAACCTCCGAATTATTTTGTTGCAGTTAATCAGGATAATTTTAATATATGTATGAGTAGTTGTCACATGGAGTATACAAAAGCTAATAGCAACTCCAGACATTTTGTATTAGGCGGCAAATCTCCCTATTTATCAAGTACAACAACACCTACATTGACCGGTTAGTTAATCTTATGCATATACATAATGTTATTGTTTTCGTATCAAAACTCTAATATCATTATTGACAAATCGATATATATTGAATTTGTGATAAAAGGTATAGTGACTAGGTCGGATGTCAGACGGTCACCTCTACAGGATATATCAAACAGTATGTATTTTCCCGTTCGTTTTAACTTTGTAATGTTTATTTTTAGGTGACAGGACTCTTACTTATTCTTTAAATAAATTAGGTACAAGACAATGCATAAAGAGCTCATTCATGAATGATGGAAAAGACCATAGTCAAGATAATGAGGTCAATCGCGATTTGTTTCTGGATTTTGAGCAAGTTTGCACTACTAATCGCATAACTCCGGTGCAAGAGGAATATAGTTGTGGTAAGTTCAATATCCACAAACATCTGTAAAAATGTGCTTTGAAATCTTAAGAGGCAATTGTATGTGGTTAGTTGTTTAAATGAATTTTTTTTTTCTTATTTTTGAAGGATTGGTGGGAATTGCAAAGCAACCTATACAACAGATTGCTAATGGTAATTAATTTATTATTTGATAGCTTGTGTGAATTAAAAATTTATTTAATTGTACATTATTATTTAACTAACTAATGTATCCATTTAGTTGAATACAAAGATCTTGGGGATGCAAATAATACCTGTCAACATTGTGGAGCTCTATTTTGGTACGAAGAGCGGATCAACAAAACAGTTGTTTACGGCACGCCAAAATATTCAATGTGTTGCAACAGTGGTAAGATCAAATTGCCACCAACCATGAGGCCACCCAATGCAATTTACAATTTGTTTTTTGGAGAAGGAGAAAAAAGCAAGCAATTCCTACAAAATATTAGAACATACAATAGCATGTTTTGCTTCACCTCCATGGGTGGTAAAATAGATCGGAGCGTGAACAAGAACGGTGGTCCACCCATTTTCCGGATCAATGGCCAGAACTTCCATTACATTGGTAGTCTCCTGCTGGTGGACGCGAGAAAACCACATTTTGCACAGTTGTATATATATGATACTAATAATGAACTTAGTAATCGTATCAATGCTGTGAGGTACGTACCTGTTATTTACTTCTATATATAAGTTCTACAATATTTGTATCCAAATTACTTTTTAGCAACTTCTAATATTTTTGGTCGTATGCTAGGCAAAATGGTGACCAAAATGGCATCCATGTTGAGATTGTGAATGATATTCAACAAGTTTTGGATACCAGTAATGTCTTAGTCAAGTCATTCCGCATGGCACGATCTGAGCTGCAAAATAATCCGCTGGCCGAGGTAAAAATTAAATTGCTTGGGAAGAGATCAAAGGATGCAAGAACATACAATTTGCCGCAGGTTTCGGAAGTTGCAGCCTTAATTGTGGGTGACATTGATACAAATATTGGAGAACGTGACATTATGGTCGAAACCAAGAGCGGCCTGTTGCAACGAATTAGTGAGTTGAATCCAGCATACCTCCCAATGCAATACCCTTTACTCTTTCCGTATGGTGAGGACGGATACAGGGAAGACATTCCCTTCTCTACATTAAAAGGAAACACAAGTGCTGGCCGTCAAAGGATAAGTCCTCGAGAATATTTTGCATACCGTATACAGACAAGGTTATCTGAGGTATCTACTTTATTGCATTCAAAGAGGTTATTCCAACAATTTTTGGTAGATGCCTATACAATGGTTGAGTCAGGAAGGTTAATCTATATAAGGACACATCAAAAAAGTTTGAGGTGTGAATCGTATAATTGCTTGAATGATGCATTAACACGCGGTGAAGTTGACCCCACTACTCAAGGAAAGAGGATAATATTGCCTTCAAGTTTTACAGGGGGTGCTAGATACATGATTCAAAATTATCAGGACGCTATGGCTATATGTAGATTGGTTGGATATCCAGATCTGTTTATCACATTCACCTGCAACCCGAAATGGCCCGAGATACAACGCTTCTTGAAGGATCGAAAGTTAAAAGCTGAAGATCGTCCTGACATAATATGTAGATTATTCAAAATGAAATTGGATGCTGTAATCTCAGATTGTCGGAAGAACAAGTTATTTGGGCCAGTGATGGGAGGTACGTAAATTAAATGCCAATATTTAAAACAGTTCCTATAGATAATTGTTAGAAGTTTTTTGCCAAACGTAATGTTTTTTTTTTTTTTTACCAGTTATATATACCATAGAGTTCCAAAAAAGAGGTCTGCCGCATGCTCATATTCTGCTGTTTCTTGATAAAGTCAATGGATATCATACTGTTGACAATTTGGACAACATTATTTCCGCTGAGCTGCCTGATCAAGAAGCTGACGCAGAATACTTCAGAGCAGTTGAGGAGTTTATGATGCATGGACCTTGTGGGAAAGCCAGATTGAGTTCTCCCTGTATGGCAAATGGTAAATGTACTAAACATTTTCCCAAAAAGTTTGTTAATTGCTCAACTTTTGATGAGGATGGCTATCCTATATATCGGAGAAGAGACAATGGTCGGTCTGTGACGCGCAATGGGATTGACTTGGATAATAGGTACGTGGTACCACACAATAGGCATTTGTTGTTAAAGTATAGGGCTCATATTAATGTCGAATGGTGTAATCAGTCCCGTTCAATCAAATACCTATTCAAGTACGTGAACAAGGGTCATGACAGGGTAACAGCAGAGTTTTACAGAACCAGCAATGATCAAGTTGTTGCCCAAGTTCTGGATGAAATTAGTATGTACTATGATTGTAGGTACATATCTCCGTGTGAAGCATCGTGGCGGTTGTTCGGTTTTGATATACAGTTTAGGACACCATCAGTGGAAAGATTAAGCTTTCACTTGCCGAACCAACAAAGTGTTGTTTTCGCAGATGATGACCCCGTTGATAACATACTCAGTCGGCCAACAATCTTGCAAAGCATGTTCCTAGAATGGTTCGAGGCAAATAAAAACTTCCCAGAAGCAAGAAAGTTGACATATGCTGAAATGCCAACAAAGTTTGTCTGGAAGAAAGATATTCGAAAATGGCAGCCCAGAAAAAGAGGATTCTCTATAGGTAGAGTTTTCTATGTGCCTCCTGGATCAGGGGAAATCTTTTATTTAAGGTATCTGTTGAATAAGGTCAAAGGTCCGACAAGTTATTTAGATATAAAAACAGTGGATGGCGTCCAATATGATTCTTTTAGGGATGCGTGTTGTGCAAGAGGATTAGTAGATGATGACAGGGAGTATGTTTATGCTATAGAAGAAGCAAGTCATTGGGCCACAGCTGTGAATCTTAGAAGATTATTTGTCACTCTCTTGATGACTAACTCAATAGCAAAACCAGAGGTGGTTTGGGAGGCTGCGTGGATTCATTTGTCAGATGATGCACAATTCAAGATTAGAGAACAATTGGGAAAATCAGGTATTAAATTATTCCATTCTTACTCTTATAGTTCTATTTTACAATAAAAGTTTTAAACGTAGTGTAAATAATATTGTCACAGATTGGATTATATCTGAAGATGAGAAGAAGAATTTTGCACTTACGGAGATTGAAATAATGCTTTCAGCTATGGGAAAAAGTTTGAAAGACTTTCAGGGGATGCCGATACCCGATTTAGTTAATCACTGCAGAACAACCAATCGGTTGATACAGGAGGAATTGGCATATGATACTACTGCAATGAAGGAAGAGAATGATGCTTTAGTGGATAAACTAACTGAAGAGCAAAGAAAAATATATGATAATGTTTTGAAAGATGCTGAGAATAATCTTGGAGGACTATTTTTTGTTTATGGATATGGTGGAACGGGTAAAACATTCTTGTGGAGAGCATTATCTTCTGCTATAAGGTCAAAGGGAGAGATAGTACTGAATGTTGCATCAAGTGGCATAGCTTCCCTTCTATTACCAGGTGGTAGGACTGCACATTCAAGGTTTGCCATTCCGATCGCTGTTAATGAAGATTCAACCTGCAATATCAGCCAAAACAGTCCTTTAGCACAATTGATCGTGCAAAGTAGGCTGGTCATTTGGGATGAGGCTCCAATGATGCATAAATTCTGTTTTGAAGCGTTGGACCGAACTATGAGAGATATAATGCGTGTCAAAAATCATAACAGCTTCGATATGTCGTTTGGTGGAAAAACAGTGGTGTTAGGTGGAGATTTCAGACAAATTTTACCAGTCATTCCAAAGGGCACCTGACAAGATATTGTGCGAGCAACTATAAATTCATCCTATCTTTGGAGAAGCTGTAAAGTTTTTAGGTTAACAAAAAACCTAAGGCTTAGATCTTTGAGATCGGATAGTGAAGTTCAAGAGATTGCTGATTTTGCCAAGTGGATTGCTAATATAGGTGATGGAACCATTGGTGATTCAATGGATGGAGAATCTGAGATACAGATTCCTGAACAATTTTTGCTCAGTTGTGGAGAGGATCCTATTGCTACCATTGTTGATAGCACTTTCCCGTTGTTTCGCAATGGCCACAGAGATAATGAGTACTTAAAAGATCGTGCCATACTTGCACCGACTTTGGATGTTGTAGATACAGTCAACGAATACATGAATGACTATAACAATGCTGAAGGAAGGACCTATGTCAGTTGTGACTCCGTATGCAAATCTGATTCTAATGTTGACATGCTGGCGGACCTGCACACACCGGAGTTTTTAAATGGATTACGATGTTCGGGAGTTCCAAATCACTCATTGACTCTCAAAGTTGGCTCGCCAGTGATGCTGTTAAGAAATATTGATCACTCACTGGGGTTGTGCAATGGTACAAGGATGATTATTTCAAAGTTAGCGGATCATGTTTTAGAAGCTAAAATACTCTCCGGATCAAGTGCTGGTACGAAGGTCTTAATTCCAAGGATGTCCTTAACACCTTCGGATCCAAGATTGCCTTTTAAATTCCAAAGAAAGCAATTTCCGCTAATGTTGTCATATGCCATGACAATAAATAAAAGCCAGGGCCAGACACTATCCAATGTGGGTTTGTTTTTGAAGAGGCCGGTTTTTAATCATGGTCAAATGTACGTAGCATTGTCAAGAGTTAGTAATCCTAACGGATTAAAAATACTAATCTCAGACGAAAATGTACAATAAAAAAATACGACTACAAATGTCGTATATAAAGAAGTATTCAATAATGTTTAATACATACTATATGTTTTGCAGAAGTATATATATATTTTTAAGAAATTTATTTATATTAGATGTTTTACATATATTGCCGTGCAACGCACGGGTGGAATTACTAGTTTATTTATAATAACATTAGTTCTAATAGTAGTTGATTAACATCTCTTATTATAATAAAGCAAGAACTTTCTCCTACACATTTTTCCCGCTCACACTATACTGTGTCGTTTTATGTGAGTATATAATATAGCTACTTTAGAGTCGAATTGAATGTGATCAGATGACTGTTTGTTTTCCAATGTCAACCAAGTACAATAAATACAGTTCTATTAATGAAAGACTTCTAATGATAAGCTACATATATACACCTGCATACATACAGATAGACACGCGCATAACTACAGATAGACACCTACATATTTTACATCTGTATATATACTATTAAATGCTTCTAAACAATCATCTATTAATTGTGCTCTTGGAAACTGAAAGGTTTCCAGTAGCCTTCAGGCTTCCAAGGTATTTTTCAAATTTTGAATACAATGTTAGCCCTCTATATAAACCTCTCTAAACCGCCTTTTGCACTAACCCTCTGCGTGTTTGCTATTCACTGCTTAGACTTTGCCATCCATCTGATATAACCTGAAAATGGCTCCATTGTTCATCTTGGCTCCATTATTCATCTTAGGGAAGGACATCTGCAGAACTTGATGGCCGAAACACTGAGGTAATGTTTTCATTACAAACCTGCAAACAATGCATTCATATTTAGAAAATAATATTTTCTTTCTTTATAGGCACATATGTGCATGTAAACATTCTTAAAGACTATGTTTACTTGGTTTCTTTTCTATTTCTTTATCTAATTTGTTGTATTAGACTCTATTGGTTTCTATGGAGGAGGATACTGATGAGATGAAGGAGTAGACGCACAAGGAGATGGGAAATGTATACACTTACAAAAGCCATGGTGCTTAATGATGAGGATATTTCGTTCCTCCAAACTTGATTTGAACTCTTCAGCCTTCTGTTCTATAAATAATGGCTACTAACCAGCCATTTTGGGAATTAAGCTTTGCGTGTTTGTTCTTTCTTTGCCATCTATTCTGCTTGAAAATGGCTCCCCTCTACTTTTTTGGAAAAGAGTCAAAGACTGTGCCTCAGTCCAGGTAATTTTACACCTATTTTACACCTATCATTGGTATTTAAAATTACTGCTAGAAGATTAAGGTGTGTGTTGAGGCCTAGAATTAGTTGCTGCATAGTGGGGCTGTAAAAAAAAAAAGATTTCTGGGAAAATGAAAATCAAATGAGGTATCAAAATCTATCTATCTATCAATCTATATTACTTAGAGTTTTATTAATATTAACAGGTCAGCTAAATGCATATGGCAGTATGATTTTATTTGTTAGGAATAAGGGTCAAATAGGCCATCAAACTGCACATGATAATACAATTAGGCCACTGAACCCAAAAAATCAACAATTGAGTCCCTAAACTTATCAATTCCTAACAATTCTTCCAATTTGAAGGTTTCCAACAAGTCAACAGGTCATCCTCCAAATTAATTATTTTTTTAAAAATAAAATTTAAAAATTAATTATTAAAATTTTAAAAAAAAAAAAAAAAAAAAACAGATCGGCTGAATTCTGTTTTTTTTTTAATTATTTAAATAATTAATTTTTAAATTTTATTTTTTTTAAATAATTAATTTGGGAGGATGACCTGTTAACTTGTTGGAAACCTATAAATGGGAAGAATTGTTTGAAATTGGTTAGTTTAGGGACCTAATTGTTGGTTTTTTAGGTTCAGTGGCCTAATTGCATTATCGTGTGCAGTTCGATGGCCTATTTGACCCTTATTCCTATTTGTTATTGTAGGTGTGTTTTGATGGAAAGGACATAGATTTTTGAGGTGTAAATCCTTTATCAAATCTCTATATATATCATGCATTCTTATAACAGTACTTTATCATTTCTGCATCAAAAAACTGTTTGTTTTTCAAATGCACTACTGGAAAGTAGAATGAAGAAATTAGAGAAGTCTATTACTATAGGTGCCAAGAGAAAACAAAAAGCTGAAGATAAAGGTATGTTTCCAGATTATTTGTTAACAAATAAATATGTTATCTGTTCATATTTTTCCTAGATTAGTAGACTAAGCGTTGCTGATTTGCAGCCTATGATAGGTTTTAAAATTTGCCTTGCCCTCAAAAAGGTTAGGACAGATTGTAACTTAGATCTTGCACTTGAACAGGACAGTGTGAGCAATAAAAAAGGACGTGTTCATCTTATGATGCTACCCAGTTGTTGTTCAATGAACTATACCAGAAATTGAGAATTTCAGGGAAAGGTATGATTCTATCTTATTATTCAATTCCACTGTCAGGCATATTCTTTGAACTAAAGTTTTTATTTTTATTTTCTCTATGTAGTCTTTGTACTGAGCAGACTCCATTGAGGAGTATCAACTCATATTCAAGCCTGATTTATAGTCTAATAAATCTAGATCTTACCTGTGGCAGAATGGTTGTATGTACCATCTCTGATCTATATGAGTGGAAAGAGGTAACTAGGTAGAAGTGAATTTGTTTGACTCTTTTATTTTTTTAGCTGATACAAAGAATATGTTTATATCTCTAATGACAAATATCTGATACTATTGCATATTAATAACTTCTTCTATTCATATGCTAACAGTGTGGAGATTATTGGGTGCCTGCTAAGATTGCTGACATAGAAGGGGATCCTTACTGCTCATATGTCTCTTGCAAGTCAAAATGGTGCAATAAAAAGCTTGTGCCTAAGGGTGGCCTATACTGATGTGATAAGTGTAGCAGAATTTGGGCTGATGGTATTTTGAGATATCGTTTGAAAGTGAGGGTCGTTGATGTAAATGGGGATGCCCCATTCTTGCTTTGAGAAAGGGAATGTATTGATCTAATTGGTATGACAACAGTAGAATTGAAAGGATTATATCCAAGGGTAAAAATCATTTCACAATCTACTTTTAATAATCTTTGAATCTTAATACTAAGAGTGAACTAATGCAGACTATGAACTTGAGTTAGGAAAATTGGAAGATACCTTTGGAGTTAAAAGACTTTGGTTTGGTTTATCATTGGTATTTAAAATTGCTGCTAGAAAGGAACAAGTTGACAATCTACTTAATGCATTTCCTGTGGTAAAAATTGAGAGTGCATTACTTGCAATTCACTGTCCAGAATTGCTTGATTCCCAAAGCAGGGATCTAAACTCAAAGATCTTGCAATTCACTGTCCAGAATTGCTTGATTCCCAAAGCAGGAATCTAAGTTCAAAGATCCTACTGCTAGAAGATTGTGAGGTTGTGAGAAGCTGCCTATTGGACGAATAAGTAGTATGAACACACAATATGCAAAGTTGTATATACATAGTGCAAAATGTATGATCACATAGGGACTATTACGAAGTGTATATATTTAATCTTTTTAGGAATCCGAAAATTTATTTATACTATCATATGAAAATCTGTCGTAAACAACTGAATTATTAAGAGTAAATTCACCAATAACAAAAATGATGGTTTCCTAATAGTAGTTATTATATTACGCAATTACTTAACAGGAATAATAAATTTCAACTTACAGAAATTAGGTTGAAACCATCATCTGCATTCAAAAAAAAAAAAAGGTTGAAACCATCATCTTGGCACCCATGAGTCACTAATAGTGATAACCTCCTTAGCTACCAATGAGAGCACACTGAATCTGTACTTGATCACAGAACTCTGTAGGTTATTCACATTTGATTAGTGACTTCATATTCAAAACAAAAATGACAAACCAGTAGTAATAACAAGCATATTGGTTTCACGTGCTCAAAACAAATGCCATCCAGTTATAAAAATCAAATCCTTCTATAAAGGAAAAAATCAAATTGTATTATTTTCAATCAAAGGTTTGCACTTAGTAAGAGAAAAAAATGATTATAACAATGTGAAACTACATTAGTCTCAGGTTACAAACTACATTAGCCTCCTTTTAACATTGTATTTGCTCATCACATCTGCACTGTCTTTCACATTTAAACCTGCAACAAAAATAAGATTGAACATAAATTACTTACAAAAAAAAAAAAAAAAAAAAAAAAAAAAAAAAAACAGAATATGAAAGACAAAAGTAAGTAATTAGAGACAGTCCTAAATGTGGGTGTCTTATGCCTTTGGAAAATGTGTGCTATCATTACATATTAGAAACCTTTCCAATTCTTAAGACTATGAAAACTAATACAGAACTATAAAGCACGATGTATTTGATTATTACAACACTACTCAAAGGCATAAGAAAGGTGATACACTACAAAGACTGCAAATTTAAGTCTCCAGGGAGTCAAACTACACTACACAAATGAGGAAATTGACGAAATCAACAGTTATAGGAGTTAAACGAAAGGCTAAGGAAGACGACAGAGGTATGTATTGCACTATTTTTACAGTTAAATAGTTTTTAATTCATGCTGCTCCAGTTAGAGGATAATAGGAGGAAATTCTGGTACAAATAAATTTCAGTTGGGAGAAATAAACTTAGCTTTTTTCAGACTTATTTGAAAATGTCAACCATTTGCATGCAAAGATAGAAAATTTTTCAAACGAAATTCACAAGTACTAAGTCAAAAGATAAACAGGAAAATACTGGAAGTAGTTTACTCTAAAACTCAGATTCCATAAATCAAGAGTGGTGTACTAAATACGAACATGAAATTGAATAATTTTGAGAATATTTACCTTGAAGCACATGTAAAAAGTTTTGGACCTCAAGCATAGATAACGATCCGACGAATCGCAGCCGGTAGTAAACAAATAGGACTACAGACTAAGAAAATACCTAATAGCAGTAAAGCATTAGAGGATTGAGACTGGATATAGAGCGATAGAGTAGAGAAGCCGATCGATTTCAAAGAATCGCGGTGATCGGAGAGAAGCCAGATCCGGAAAGGGAAAGCGTACTGTGTTGTTTGGCCTCTCCAAATGATTCGTGCGATATACATATATTAATATATATATTAATAATTACTCCCTCCGTCCCGAATTGGATGTCTCATTTACTTTTTGCACGCTTTTTAATGAATCAAAAGTAAAGGTTATGCACTTTCCAATTATGCCCCTCACTTTTTCACTTTTGGAAATAAAAACAATAAAGAAAGCAAAAGCTAGAAGGGTAATTTGAAAAAAGTAGAATGATGGTGATGTTCAATTTTAGAAAGCGGACAACATTTTGGGACAAACTAAAAAGTAAAGTAAGACACATAAAATGAGACAGAGGGAGTATATAGGTAGTATGTGTATGTGTATATATATATATATATATATATATATATATATATATATATATATATATATATATATATATATATTAATATTAATATTAATAATAAAGTTAGTAGTATGTATATATTTGATCTATACATGTACGAAATGGAGTAATACGAACTATGTAAATAGATAATTTAATTGATTATAATGATATAGTGTTTTCAAAACCAGATCTTAAATTATAAAACATATTAATATATTAATATTTAAATACATATTATAAACCACATGACAGTATATTTATACGTATTATGAAATTTTAATGTGTAGTAATTTTTTTTCTTCAGACAAAGAAAATTATGTGAACACCAAAGATCTACGTCCATTGTAACTCAGAGATGGTCTACAAGGTCCAACTCAAAGTCAGACTTATGGAGTATTAGCAACATCTTTGGATACTCCCTTTGGTGTTCTCTCATATGGTTATTATAATTTAATTGTTCTTATATTATTATATTTTTAAAATTATATGTTTTTTTAGATGATGTAATGAAGAATACAAAGACTTATACATACTAAAATATATCTAAATTATATATGGCCGTGCATCGAATGGAATGTTATAATTTAATATCATAATAGTTAAATTTGTATTGAGCTAGATTTTAATAATAGAGTAGTAGACTTTATAACATGTTGTTTGTTATTGAAGAACCTTGGTGGCTCAACTAAAATCCAAGAAACATAATAAGCAATTCTTCAATAATATTTGATTTTATAGTTCGGTTGTTGGAAAAAAAATATTTGACTTTAATAAAGATAATAATGTGATGTTTGATTTTTTATTTAAATCCTATTCTTAAAGCATTATGATGTCACATTTTCCATTATATATATGACACCACACGGGTGGAGTTGTATTATTTAATATTCTTAAAACCGGTGCTCATATTAAAAAATACTACCTCCGTCCCATTTTATGTGTCTGGTTCGGTTAACGAGACTTGACTGAAGTTATTTTTAATCCAATTTTTTATAATATTAAATTTAGTATTAATATGCAAAATTTATATTTAGAAAATACACTAAGTCAAGGTCAAACGATTTCACATGTTAGTTTGTTACTGAAAAAATTAGTTTTTAATCATGGCCAATTATATGTAGCAGTTTCGAGAGTGAGTAATCCTCGGTCTTAAAGTCTTAATTTTTGGGGAATCTAGAGATCTTTTAAACAATACTCAAAATGTAGTTTACAAATAAATCTTTAATAATGTGTAATTTTTTTGTTTATGGAACACCAATAAATTATATTTTGTCTATTTATTAATTACATCTAAAACCTTATTGGTCCTATATCTTCACTATAACAATTTTTTATATATTGCATCATAATATCATGGCCGTGCAACGCACGGGTACAACTACTAGTGAGTTTAATAATGGTAGATCAGTTATATTGGGACTCTAATAAGCTTTTAATTATAATTTATTTAACAAAAGATTTAGTATGCATTCTTCATCCCAGACCTTTGTACGCCAAAAGCTCCGGATCGTGAACAAAGCCAGTCAGCAACGACCGAACGAAAAAGGAGATCTTGAAGTTTTCTTCGGCCATTGCAGACGCTTGCATAGCTTTGAATGGTTATAGAGGAGCGCAAAATTTGAGAAATTGTTGGAGTTCAAGGAGTATAAATACAGGCGAGTTCAAGGAAGGCGGAGGATCAATTGGCCCCGGACCAATTCCGGAGGTGGTGAGTTGAGATTTCTGGTGAGCGGTATAAAATTGGTTTTGATTGACGGCAGTTTTCGATCGGCGGCTCCGTTACTGGGTTCGGCGTTGTTTGGTTTGGCGTTGGAGCAGCAAACAAATTCATTTTTTGTAGCAGCAGTTCCATACGGCAATTCTTCTATCTCCTATTCTTTTGATTTGTTAATTTACTTTGTAATTCTTCAAATCTCTTTATTCTCTCTATTTGTTAACTCATTTTTGTGGTTTTGTTCAATTCATCTACTCAATTCATAACTCTCTTAATTTATTCATCTTATTTAATTGGTTGGCAATTTATGTATTCAAAATTGAACTTAGATTGTAGAGTCAATATAATCTGCAGCTTTATTATATTTGCATTGCTTAATTATTTTTACTTTTATTGCTAAGCTTTATTTGTTTTTATTAATTAAGCTTTATTATATTTACTTTTAAGGGTTGATATTAAAATGCTTTGCTAATTAAATTCATGTTCCTAGACTTTTATTACTCTATTACATATCAATTCGTGCGTGTTCATTTTGTTTAAACTATGTTGATTGTCGTTTAATTTAATATATTTGTTATTCTGTTTTCCGGTATTTCATTGTTTATCTTCCTGAGTTTTATGGATTTTACTTTGGCATATGATCCTATTACCTTAAATCATCCCGTTTTTGTTAATTTACTGCAATTAAAACGTAATTAAATTGCATCGTACAATTCCCTGTGGGTTCGACCCTTGCCTTTCCCTGTGGGTTCGACCCTTGCCTTTGCACACTATCACTACACTGACTCGTGCAAGTCGTGCACTAATGATTTAATGAATTAAACTTTTTTCTCCGAAATAAAAAAAAAAAATCATTTTCCGGGTTTCCAAACATACCCTTAGAGCAACATCAACTATTGATTATTTTTATTTCTTTTCTATAATTTTTTATAGGTCCCAACATCCACATCATCTACTATCTTATTCAATCTCAAAGACCCCCCATTTTCCAATAGTTTATTTTTTTTCAAATTTTTTTTGTGGACCCACCAATTTACAAAAAATCATATTATAATTTTTTTTATTTATTATCAATATAATTATAATATTACTCCGCACTATTTATATTTAAATTAAACATGTCAACATTTAATTTAATTAAAATAATTATAAAAATTAATTTAATTGATAATCATAAAATTTAAATTCAAGTAAAGTGTTATTAAAATGATATGGAGTATATTATATTAAAAAATTACATTTCATAAATGTTTAAAAATTTAACAACAAATAAGTAAGAAAAATATAACAAAATTTTAAAAACAATTGAGAAACAACAGTTGGCCGTGCCATTTTTTAAAAAAAAAAAAAAAAAAAAAAACGTAAAACAGTTCAAAGTGGAGCCTTGAAACAAGCCTGTTGGGCATAGGCGTGTTGTTACTCGCCTTTTATTTATTATTATTATTTTTTTAAAACTCATCCTCCAAATGATAAGGGCCCGTTTACTAACAGAAAATTATTCTCTGTTTTCTATTTTTTGTTTTCAATTCTCTGTTTTTTATTCTCTGTTTTCGATTCTCTGTATTCTATTCTCTATTTTCGAAAATTGAAATTGAAAATTTGTTTACCTATATTTACTTTCACATAAAGCGACACTTTAAAAAAATAATATATATACTCAAAATACTCCATAATAGTTAATGCATTATCAATAACAATTAACAACTTAATTTTATACTAAATCTTAATATATAAAAAATAGAGAAAAAGAGTATTAAGTGTATTACACTACTGCCACTTTGTAGACTCCTACATGACTCAAACCACAAGACTCAGCAAATTATTTCAGTGGGCGGCTTCTCCCCTCAACAATTAAAATAAAATAAAAAAAAAAAATCTCACCTAGTTAACATCATTCTTTCAAAGTGCTGAGAACTTTCGAGCCCTCTGCACGGGGGAGAAAGGAATTGGAAATTCAGGGAAGCCCTTACATTACAAGGGCTCTGCATTTCACCGCATTATTCCTGGCTTCATGTGCCAAGGTGGAGATTTCACGAGGGGTAATGGAACAGGCGGAGAATCCATATATGGACTGAAGTTTGAAGATGAGAATTTCAAACTGAAGCACACCGAGCCTGGCCTTCGCAGAGTTGGAGTCGCAGCGTCGGCCGTCAGAAGATGAATCTGAAGTGCGGTAAGCTTCTGGGCTTGCTTTGTGTTGGAGGCGGAAGTGCGAAAGAAGAAAATAAGGTAGAATGAAAAAAAAATGACGCTGGCCGGATTCGATGGGGGAACTTGGTACTGTTCACGCGTGAATTTTCAGTTTTGAAAACAACATTAGATTGTGTTCCTAATTTCTTGAAAAAAGGAGAATAATTCTCAATTTTGGAAATGAGAAAATAGCATGGTAAACACCTAGACTGTTTTCAATTTTCAATTTCCGAAAATTCTTGAAAATTTCCTGTTAGTAAACGCCCCCTAATAAATCTCATTCTAAATGTTAATAAAAGCTCCCCAAAAAATCACTTGTGCTCTTAGAGCATCCATATATGTAAATTATGCACGATTTTTAAGAGAAGAAGAGCCAACATGGAGAAGAGAGAGGCAAGAGAGAAAGGGTGAGAGATTTTTCTGCAAGGGTGTGGTATTTTGCAAAGATGTGGGATCCACAGCAGAAATGGACCAATCGTGACAGCCTCGTGTAGCTATAACACCTGTGCCCAGCGGGCGCGTTACAGGCGCTGATAAAGCGCTGACACATAGTTTTTTTTTTTTGTTTTGTTTTTTTAATCAGCTTTGTTGTGTTTTTTTCTTTCTATTTTGTCTCTTCCATCCCATATTCTATTTCAATCACACTTACAAAAACCACAAAAAAAAAAAAAAAAAAAAAAAACTATTATGGATGCTCTTAGAGCATCCATATCAGTTAATAATTTTATTTGATTTTTGTCATTCGATGTAGGAAAATGAGGAGGAGGA